GGCAAATTTTAAGAAAAAGTTTTTGCACTCTGCAAACCTCCCAAAAACGGCCTGTTTGTTGTGAAAACGGGCCCATTTCTTTTCAAAAAAAAAGGGCATGGATAGCCTTTAGGAAGCTTATAGAGTGCTCCTGGGAGCTTGGGGGGGGGGGGAATTGAGCAAAAAAATGACCTGTTTTTTGCTCATTTCTGCTCTCCCCAGCCACCAGAAACTCTCTGAAAGCCTCCTACAAGCTATGCACGGCCATTTTGGTGAAGGGGACAGGGTTTCAGGAGGTAAAAAATGCTGTATTCAGTGTATAAGACACACCCAGACTTTCAGCCTCTTTTTTTAGGGAAAAAGGTGCGTCTTATACTTTGAAAAATACGGTATAGTTTAACAACAGAAATGAATACTGTATGTATCTTCCTAAAATATCTACCTTCAAGAAAGAGGAACATCAGTAGAAGGTGCATATGAGGAACTGCTTATAGGGAACTATATCACTGTGAAAACCTTTTAATATATTGTATACATTTATTCAGTTTTTTTTAATGAAAGACAAAAGTCTTCATTATTTATCATCCATTATACAAGATGATCCAGAAATCTACAATTCATACCATTTACCACAACCACAATATTAAGAAAAAGTCAAGGTAACTACATTGGACAGTTTATGAACACTGACCTTTTTTTTTAAAGTGAGGAAAATAGGGGAATATCTACCCGTCAGATTCCAATGTGCTACGAACTACATAGTCTATATGTTACAACAGATACTCTGTTGCATTACCTCCCTATGACCACAGGACATACTGGAAATAGAACCATGCTGTTGATTCTGCTGGTGAACATTTACTTCAGCTAGGCTTAATTCTACCTGCTCCCTACACATTTATGAACAAGTTCCTGAATTTGCTTATTGTGACAGTTGTTCTTCCTTTGGTGCTAGTTTATAATGCTATTGTCTAATATTATTTTGTTTTTGTTAAATAGTACATACTACAGAGTATGAACTTACAAATGAGCCTCCCCCCAATTAAATAAAAGTTTGCAATATAAGGAATTTCTGTACAATATTTTAATTAATATCCATGAAGTAACAAGAAACAGTGTTATATTAAAACACTGATGACTGGTTAGCAAATTTTACAAACCAACACTGCTGAAGAACATTGTGAGATACATTATTCGAATGGATCTCCACCGGCTCTTGTATTGTTGCAATGTTTCCATAACATCCTTAGATCTGTAATAAACAATATTGCAATATTGAGATTAATGTTAACGTGTCAAATATTAATCCTTCTTCAACAAATTCTAACTAAAGTGTTAGAACTGTATGTTATATTTACATTTAGTCATTTATTCCTGTCTTTGTATGATTGAAATCATTCTCTGATGCATGTCATCATATATTGGCAATGCCCCATTCTATTTTACAACAATTAAATACAGCAAGTTTAGAGCAGTGGTTCTCAACCTGTGGGTCGGGACCCCTTTGGGGGTCGAATGACCCTTTCACAGGGATTGCCTAAGACAAAACACATATTTTTTGAAAAAATACAGAAAACATAAAATAATTTTATGGTCACCACCACATGAGGAACTGTATTAAAGGGTCGCAGCATTAGGAAGGTTTGAAACCCACTGGTTTAGAGGATAGTGCTGATTGGAATGTAAATGTCAGTTCCTCTCCCTAGTCATATTTAGACCTCCAGCTATCCCAGCTGAGAACAAAGTGAGCTGACATATTTGTATGATGTTTGCATGAGAGGGGAAGCAACTGGGTATCTGGGATGAGGGCACTGAATGCTGGGCAAATGCATTACAGAAAAATTGCTACATTATCTGGAGGTGATATGGGGTCCTTTGACCTGGAGGAAGAATGTGGGTGTTGAGGTTCTGGTGTGTTAAGGAGGGAGCAGGCAATAACTTTGTCAGGAGGAAACAAAGAAATTAAAGAGACTTTTAACACTGATGTCAACCCCTTTGATGTAGGCCAGGGCAAGAAATGTTGGCATACAATTTGCAAGAATTCTCTGTATGAAACAAGATCATGACCCAGTCACAATTTGTAAGATGGATGATTTTATAAACTTATTAAAGATAAATACATAAATACAACCTTAGGTTATATACACAAAAGTATTTGCAAAATCAGGAATCATAACTCCCCTCTATTTTGCACTGGCATCTACTGTGCTTTAAGAAGGTAAGGGTCACAGGAGGGCTTGAACTGTCAGGCATTTAAGGTGCCACACTAGTCTTTCTCCCTAATATTAATCAAGTTTCCCTTTTGGGAAAAAAAATTAAAAAAAAAAACACTTTAATACACTCAAACAATGTTATGCAATAAACACCATAATAATCACTATTCAATATTACCATAAAGCAAAG